GCAACCAGACCTGGTGCGGTCTCATGAGTGGAAGAGGTCCCAAGCCCGTTCACATAATCGGAAGGAACTCCCTCTCGCTCGGCTTTGTTGCGTTTCCGGAGCTTTCGCGGCCCGCGCCGAAAGGTCCTCGTCGTTTGTGGTGCGGGACCATTACCCAGGGGCGGGGCTAGCACCCATCTTCGTACTCGGCTCTTGTTCTCCTCCGACTGGCGCTCCGGCTGGCTTCCGCGGCGCGGCTACCAGGAAGGGGGGAAGGCGGGGTCGGTGGCTGGGGACCTCCGTAGTGAACGATTTTCGGCAACAACTCCGCCCTGCCTCCAGCGAGTTCAGCTTGAGCCTCCTCAGCCGACTTGTATTCCCTTGGACGTCCAGGGGTGGGAGCTTGATGTTGCATGTTCGGTGGTGGGTGGCTCGGGGATGTGAGCGGTGCGCGGCCGTTTCCAGCATACATGGAGGCGGGTGCGTTGTCTGGGTGGCCAGAAAGCCCCTGACCGAATACATCGGCGATGGGCGGCAGGCGGTTGGACGTCTGGTTCGCCGGGACATGGTGGATGTGAGAGGTATTTGACAGTGTCGACGGCTGGTTTGTGATGTGGCGGGTCAGAGGATGCGGGTTGTGGCGGCCGGTGAAGGTTTGACCCAGAGGGGCGGATTGAATCACTCGTTCATTGGCAAAGCTCTCTGCAGCTGGTGCCATGATGGACAATCCAGGTGGTGCCTTGTTGCGACGCGACATGCCGGGAGTTTTGGCGGCAAATGCCGACGCTGGAGGCTCACGACCGGCAGTGTCAGGACCATCTCCCTTTGCCGACTGCTGCTGGTGCAATCTCTGCTCGATGAGATGACGCTGCTGGTCCCTTACGCTCATGCTGCGCTGGAGCTGCTCTTTCATCAGAGGATCTTTCGTGACAAAACCTGGCGAAAGGCAAGCGATGCCAACCTCCTGGATACCGAGACCATCTCGCGCGGTCAGAGGACGAGCAGTGCCGGGTTGGTTGGAGCCAGGGTGAGATCCCTTGGACAGATCCAGCTTGCGCGGTCGATGCCTAGCCGTGGCAGGCATCTCTGGAGAACCGGGCTCTTTCTTGACGACGATCTTCGGGGGTGGGTTGGAGGGCCTCGAGCTTCTGAGAAACGCACGCGTATTAGCAAAAGAACAGGAAAGTATGATGCCAGGTTCGTCGATCGCCCTCAGCAATGCGGATGCATTGCCTCACACCCACCGAAAACACTGTCGCGGTACGCGCAATTTATTGGACAATGCTTACCCGCTGAGAGGAGAAGATCTGGTACCGGCAGTTCCCTTGGGGCTGCCGCTGGCTGATCGGTGTGCTGTCGTGCTGGGAGTGCCCGCAGGCGCAGATGGCGCGCTGCGTTGTGCTGATGGGGAGGGCATGGATGCTGAGGCGGATTTGGCCGGTAGCGAAGGGGGCGGCAGGTCGGAAGCGAATGAGGATCTGTCGTGGGGCGCGGGCGAGGGAGCCATTGCAATGGCAGCACTCATAATTGCGATGTCGTTGAAACTTCGTTTGCGAAGCTTGAAATGGAAGAAAGCGGTTTGCAAGAGCGTTGGGGGGCGATTGCGAGAGCCCTCAGGATCCGAGACCGGGTTTTCTCCGTGGACTGGGAGGCCAGTGTCTCAGGCGGGCGGGTAAGGAACCTCTGCGGAGCGTTGCAACCGCTTATGCTGATCAGCGTTGATTGATAATTACAGGGCACGTCGTCTCGACAGATCGTCGTTGAAGGCGTCCTCTTTTGGACAGCTATCGGCTGTCTTGAACTTATTCCCTCCTCGCGTCAAAAGCACGAGTCGATCGGGGTTGTGATGGTCAAGAGAATGAAATGGTGGTGGTTGGGCGCGATTGGGGTAGATGCGACGGTCGCACGTCTAGTCCGTGTGCCTGCCCGGTGGGTGGGGAAGGATCAGTTTCGTGAAACTCGGGCGCCCCTTCTTTCTAGGCTGTGGTGGCTGCAGCGTGGCTCTTGGCTCGTCACAATGGTGGGCTGACGGGCGGCGGGCGGTTGCGGTTAGGGGATCGACTGTTTGCCGTTACAATGGACCCTTTCCTTCTGTGCCTGTTTCGTTTGGCGTGCCTTTCCTTCTCCCCGTCTGTCGCTTGCTGGAGAGCTTCGAAGCGGACCGGGAAAGAATAAAATGGACAAGATAAGCTTGGCCGAGGAAGAGTGACTTTCAAGTTTCGACCAGTGCGGAACCGGTGCGGATGCACGCGCTGAGTTGATGGCCGTCTGTCTAGGTGTCAAGGGTGGGTGAATGGAATGCTGCAGTTCGTGCTCCAGCGGTTCAGGCCTGGTCGGTGGTCGCCGATAGACTATGTTCGATAGAGGCAACAGCTCAGGTCGAATTCAGGTGTACCAAAATTAGTCCGCCGGTAAGAATGTGTACTGATGCGGTAGGGGCCCGGTTATATTGATTAGGCGTCAGTGCTGGGTGAGAGAGCGGGCACGACGGGGCGAGAAGCGAATCTTTCTGAGTCGCTGGCGACGAGTCGTTGGTGTGTCTGCTAATGGGGATGCCGAAGAGGCTCGGTCGTCAACAACAGGAGAGGCGTTTGCCCAAGAGGCGAGTGGTGTCGTTCGAAGGCAAGAAGAACAGGTGAGAAGAGAGAAGCCTGTCGGCGGCGAGGGGGCGGACAGCGAGCGGGTGGAGGGGTGTTTAAGCAGACGCAGCCGTGAAGCTCAGCTCAGGTGGCAGAGGGGACGAGCCAGGGGCCCGTGGAGAAGGAGGGGTCCCGGAGATGTTTTATTGCCTTGCAGCTGCCTGCACGCCGTTCAGCCTGGGATGGCCCTTCCGTGGGCTTCTGAGTGCTGGGGGCAGGTGGGAGGGGGGTAGCACTGTCCGGAAAGATGAAAGGGGGGCCAGCCAAGTGTGTGATACAGTGTTCACGGCATGGCGGCGTGGCAGGCTCGCAGGGCATGGCATGCCATTCTTGAGAGTCTCCTGCTTCTGGCCTGTCTTGGGGGTCCTGGCTGGCAGGAGCTGACCAGGACTGAAAAGAGGAATGTAATGGAAGGCAGGACCTGCCACCGGGTGTGGATCTGCATAGGGTGTTTGGGATTGATGCTAACGAGCCACCAGCGCTGCACCCGTTGTTTCTGATTGGGCTCCCCTGTCGAATCTGCGACACTCGATCCCATCTGGACCAGTGCACTCAACTCGACCCCAGACTGCCTTGACTGCCTGTGCCCTACCATCCACCGGCGGCCGGCGGTGGCCAGCGCGACCGACAGCGTTAGACTCGCGATGCCTTCGACGTTCCGACGGCAAAACAAGACCAAAGGAGGAAGGCTATGGAGGGGCTTGCTTTGCCGTGCCTTTGTCTTCGCCCTTCCTCTCTCCTGTCGCACGTGTCACCCTGCAGGCGACATTGACTGCATGCACAGAGGGAGCAAACTCTCCCCTATCCGACCGACCTCGAATGGCCAGCATACTGGGCCCTCCTCATTGGTCCCCGAATCGCTTTCTGGCTTGTTTCAAGCGCCGTGGTCTCTGGCCACTGAGCCTTGTGAGTCCCCTGAGTGGTCCGTATTGTCATGGCCAACCACCCACGCCATGCCAATCCATCAGCACTAGCCTATCGTGAACGAGCCGGCTGAACCACACGAACCGTCGAACCGTCGCGAACCATGGCATTCGGAACGACGGCTCTCGATACTATGGCCGTAGATCGTTAGATACTTTGACGTGAGGGGGAAGGGGGGTCCGCGGTACGGTTTGACCGCGAGCCCAAGGCCGACTTGGCCTCCTGTTCCCCTCCGCCTGCCTCGCCTCACTGCCCCCATTGCTCGGCTCGAGGGGGGTGTGGCGATCCCAAGGCTACGTGTGTGCATCAACATAAACCAGGTGGTCGTGACAGGCCCTTGGTAATCTCCCATCAACCATCGTGCGGAACAAGCAATATTGACCTCACGCTGTGTTATATCCCGCTGGTTCAAGTTCCCACCACTGATACAGTCGGTGTCATGTCCAGGTCGCAGCCAGCGTCCAGATCCCATCTTTGTTCTTGCTGTCAAACAGACAGGCGCTCATCGACAGTCTGATCTTTACTGTCAACAGACCAAGAGGCGCGATAAGCCACGCGCGCGACGGGTAGGGCAATCATCCCATCCTCATCTTGTTGAAACCAGATCCTCGCTGCATGACCTCACCACCGCCCACTGAAGGACTCTGTACAGCGACATTCGGGATCCCTCCGAGCCCTACGAGAGCCATTGTGGCGGTGGCAAGTGCCCAACATTGCTCGCCTTGCAGCGTTGCTATCCTTCGCCCATGACCAAGGTTCATTCTCTCCGCAATTCGCCAACCCGCCCCAGCACACATGCTGCAGGGGCCGCCTGACAATGAAGGGTGAGCCTTGTCGAAACGTCCCTGACGATCCCCCCTCCATCTCAATTCACCATCTAACGACACGTCTCGCCCATCAAGAAGACCCATGTCTCGAAGCTCGCCTCCGCTGGGAATCGGTCGTCGATGAAGCATACAGAGTACCGCAGCTGGCAAGCTTGCGCAATACGATACGAGATGGAGACGTTGCCAAACACCGTCTCGCACGCCATGCTGTACCATGTTTCGCCGCGCGTAGTGCGACGCCCATGATCTGCCTCCTCATGCTTTCGAGCCTCTCCTATTCACCAAGGCAAGTCAGTAAAGTAAAGCCACGATGGATGTCACGCGCGTGCGTTGACCGCAACAGCAAAGTCGGTCAACCAGCTGACAGGACAGGCAAATTCCCATCGTGACCCTCCATCCTTTGCTTTTTCCACCACCCCCCTCCCATCGCCCTTCCTCCCCCTTCCCATTCGTGATATTCCTGATCCCTGTCTTCTCACCGTTTCTCACCTGCAACTTGCTGCAAGCCATTCCCCTTGGCCCCAGCGAACGCCCCCATGGCCCCCTGGCCGCACCCCCATCAGCTGCCACAAACCCGATCGGGACAGCCCCATTATTGGCCGTCAGACCAATAGCACTGCCCATTGCTTCTGAAACACGGCCAGCACAGCCTTGCCCAATCACTTAGGTCGCAGCTGTGAGTCCCGACTCACACACCTGGCCAGCTGCCAGCTTTGCTTCCAAGCACTGTCATCACTTGCGAAAACCCTCGTCTTACGACCTGTTGGTCACGAGGATCGTCATAAAAAAAAAATGCCGGACGTGTCGCCCTGCACTTCGTCCACACGTCGGCCCCCGCCGGCCGCGAGTTGCCGACGTAACCAACATGGGACGTTTGGCTTGGCCCCCATCCATCCAACTGAGCATCATGTTCACGGGTCCTAATAAAGGGTGAAGCACTGACTTGATCCATATTCGCTCGTCAACGACCACAATGCGCAGGGCCTGCTTGTTAATGCCGATTTGTGATATCGAAAACAAAAGCCACAGGCTAAAAGGCACGCGCCCGTCACGGCGATGTCCGTCGGGGAAGGGGCCAATTGCAATTTGAAGGCTGTGCCTGTTTGCAACAGGCGAACTTTGCGGCCACCCCTGGCTACAGTTACCATGTTATAACCCTCCGCTGCATTAACACGTCGGACTCGGTGTGAAGAGCGTCCTCAAAGGGACACAACTCCGGCTGAGTTGACTCGCCGTCGGCCTGCCTTCGAGTCCCTGAGTCGTGCGTCGCGGCTCAAGCACCTTGCCGCGCGCCAGTGGGCTTTTATCAGCTGCCGCATTAGGGTGCGAGGTATTGATACAGAGCCCCAGCTCTGATCGAGCCATAACCTGTGCGCTTCTTGGCCGGCCTGCCTCCTCTGGGGAACCTTCAACTGCCGTGTGTTGTGACGGAGATGACCAGTAGTCCTCCGAGCTTATTATGCTTTAACCGTCAATTGTGGCGCTAGTTCGTAAGATTCGAGAATGCATTTGTGGTAGGGGATTTTGGTCTCGATGCGCATGAGGTTCATTCTGATAAGCATGGTTGCAGTCATACATGGCTGGAGTACGGTGATCGCTCATGACAAAGGGCCTCATCGGTGTACGAGCGACAGGCTGGCCGCACTTGCAGCCAGCCGCATGTTGTGTCGAGCGGTTGATCGATGCATTTGTCCAAGCTTCATTCATCACAAATTGGGAAATCCAATTATCGATTCCAGAATGCAGGCATTCCGACTCTTTGAGCCAACTCCCGATTTGGAGTTGCGATGGAAATGTGGGGCACTGGCGCCGAAAACTGTCGTTGGCTGGGGCGGAAAGTCCCCGCCAAAAAAAATCAAGACAAACGCATCTCAGGCCGATAGTCAGCTTCATTACAGCCACAGCCCTGCATTCATCGCCAACGCCGCATACACGCCTCTCCATACCCCAGATCTCTCGCATCATACCGCCACCATGCCCGGAAGGACAGACGAGACCAGCGCCGACGTGCCCATGGAGGACGGCGCCCCTCCCTCTCACCAGCCCACGGCGGAGGATGAGTTTGCCAACGATGGGCAGCAGGGCGAGGAGGACGAGGAGGAAGAAGAGGAGCTTGAGCAGCGCGTCCGAATTGTAACGCCAGCCCAGTTCCGAGGTCGGAAAGAAAGAGCATGCTGACATTGTAAAAGCTCCCGGGTTCCACCGACACGGCGGCCTCGTTTGAGTTCAAGGCTGAGGGACACACCCTTGGCAACGCCCTGAGATACATCATTATGAAGAAGTCAGTGATTTTTTACACCTTGAAGCGCTGCCACATGCTGACCTTTTAAGCCCCGATGTTGAGTTCTGCGCCTACTCCATTCCCCATCCTTCCGAGGATCTCATGAATATCAGAATCCAGACCTATGGTAAGCGACATGCAACTGCACCATCGTGTGCCTCTGCTGACTTTTCACAGATGGCACTGCCGTATCCGCGTTGTCAAAAGGCCTGAAGGATCTGCAAGGGCTTTGCGACGTTATGACTGATGAGTTTACCCGGGAACGCGACTCTTTCGCCGTCGACAAGATGGAGTCATGAGCACGTGAAGTCAAGGAAGAGTCCATGAAGACTAGGCAGAGTCCGTGAAGACTAGGAAGAGTCCTCCAAGATGAACAAAACAGGGCGTGACGGCCAAGCGGCGTTGTGGGGTTACAGAACATAGACGGGCGTTCTCGGGGTGTTTTGGTAATTTCTTCTATTGGGCACTATGTACAATGCACTGGCTCCTCGCCTGCTCCCTCCGTCTGTCGCTCCACACAGCATCCTGCCTCTCGCTAGTTGCGGCCCTGCGTACTGCGTTAGCTGTGCAATTCGTGATGCCCCACCCCTAAGAGCCGTGTGCGTAGACGAGCTCACCTCGAGGAATCCGGACATGAAGCTCTTGGGTAGCCTGTCATCTCCCCTGAAGTTCTCGTTTTTGAAGTAAGACATGATGTGGTTGGTCTGGCGCCAGAAGTTCATCGTCTCCTAGGCACAGGAAAGCATGGTCAGTATGATAGAGTTGGAAAGGGCACGGATGGACCATCCCCGCGTTGGAGACTCCGCGTCACAGGATCGGACAAGTTCAAAGCCAATACAAAACGCACCTGGTAATCGGCATGGCTCTTGAACAGCAGCACATCCACGACGGAGAGCTTGTTGGCAAAGCGGTGGCGCTCAAACTCCTCACGCATCCGGGTGCGGATAACCGACACAGGCATGGGCAGATTGTACATGGTCTGGACCTCAGGAGCCTGGAAACACCATTGTCAGCCTCATTCCCTCCTCAAAAAGCCTTGAAAGTTCTCTGTAACGCGTGCTTGGGTATCGGGAGCAGTCATACCGCGCGGATCCATTGTCGGTAGGAGTGAAGCACTCGTCGCTTGGCCTCGGGCCAATTGGCAGCTGCACAGCATGTTAGCGCTGGGGGATCGGGATTTGAGGGACGCTGCGTACACTGGCGCGTCTTCTGCGCGAATTGTGTCGGTGTGATGGCCATTTTGGGCGGCCAATGCTGTGATGAATCGACTGCTTCTGGTGGTTCGTCGTTGGGGACTGCGACATCACCGGATGCTTCAGCATGAATTGAGGGTGGATATATGTCACGTGATTCTAAATAACGAGCCACTCGCTGCCGGCGGATTTGGCAGCTCGGGTACTTATCCGAGAAATACATACACCCAGTACAAGCAGGACGTGCACCAAGCCTGGTCTGTATAAACTACTCTTGCGACAGGTCGCTTCTGCATCAAGCACAAAGTATGCCGTATCTACTATGCGCCTCATAGCGACATTTTCAATCAGTGCCCAATTTTTCACGTAGGCGTCGAAACTTCACCCAAAACTTCACATGTTTATCTCGAATGCAGCCCGATTCACGGACACTGAGCTGCTTAGTTGCATAGTCAGGACCTAGTCGTTCTCTCCTTTGTCATCATTGGAGCTATTCGATCACGTGAGTGGATGATCAAGACTTGGTTGCCCCTCCAGTGCTCTCGCCTCCGTACATGTTGATTTGAATGCATGAGCTTTCTCGACACGAAAGCCTCACGCACGATCTCCCTGACTACCTTCTGAGTTCCTGGACCAACAACGTCTGGGTTACGCAAGTGATTTTAATCTTTTTGCGCGATCTCTCTATCCTAGTCCAACAGCAACCAACGCCATGCCTCCCATTCGCCACGCCTCCAAGCGCAAGCCGCCTCCAGACGGCTTCAGCGACCTCGAAGACCAGCTCTTGATTTTCCAGAATAAGATGAAGGACGCGCAGAACAAGCCCCCACCGACGGGCCCGAAACATCAGGCGCAATGGGAGATCTTCCAAATCTCGCATCAACGGAGTCGATACATTTACGACTTGTACTACGAGAAGGAGGCTATCAGCAAGCAGCTCTACGACTGGCTTCTCAAGAACGGATACGCTGATGCGATGTTAATTGCGAAGTGGAAGAAGCAAGGATATGAAAAGGTTAGTCTCGGTAACTATATGATGACCACTCTCGATCTTGCGCTAACGAGGAATCCAGCTCTGCTGCCTCCGCTGTGTCCAGACGAAAGAGACCAACTTTAACTCGACTTGCGTTTGTCGCGTGCCGAAGGCGACCCTCAAAGACGACCAGGAGGTTCAGTGTGTCAGCTGCGGGTGCCGAGGTTGCGCCTCAAGCGATTAGGCGCGACGACACGATGATTACCTCGATTTTCCCCCCACGGGTTATTTGGGTTGGCGTTTGGCGACTGGCGCATGCTTTGGGACCCCCTCCGAGACGAGGCGAAATGGAGGAATGGACATTTGCAAGAGGTAGTGGTCCTTCAAATTGACCTTCAAGATCATCAAGGCAATGGCGCTAATCATGACAGTGATACGTGACCCGCTCTCCCTCCAGCCCATCGTCCGCGACGACTCGTCACCGACGCGCCAAGTTGTTCACTTCTTCGCGAAGCCTGCCTTGCCTCCCCCTCTCCCAAACCGGACAGCGTTGGGAATGAACTGCAACGAAGACATGGCCCCTGCCAGATCCTCCATGTCAGTGTCGGGGCGTTCAGAGTGCCCTGTTGTCGGTTGGGGCTTCGCTTGTGTTGTTTTGGCGCCGGCCGCCGTAGACTGACCAGCCTCACCTGGTGACGTAGTTGTCTCCTGCTGACCTGACCTTCGCCGTAGTGATTTTGCGTTGTTGGGGTTGCCCACCGACGATCTCCTCCGATGATGGCCTTCCTCGATTAGGAGAGAGCTGCGGCCGTCGATACCTGCTTTCGTGACAGCAAAGAAGAAGTTCTTGGGATACATGTGCTTGTCGATAAGATGCATCCTTCGCTTCTGGTGTGTCATGCACTTCCTCTCACACCCTTCGACAAAGCAGGAAAACTGTAGAGCGCGTCAGCTGGTGTTCAATATGCAACATATGTGAAAGGAAAGAGGTAAACTCACAGTGTGCTCACCCCTTTCTCGCTTCACTGCGACAAAAGAATCGTGGCATTCTTCAATGTGCACGCTCAGAAGATGCGACGAGGGAAAGTTCTTGCGACATTCTAGGCAGCGGTTGGTGTGTGCTTTGTGGTAGTGCGACTGATACTCGTCATATGACCTGAAGGCCATGCCATCCTTATGGCCCGGCAGATGGCACCTCATGATGACGTCTTCGCCGGTGATGCTGTGGTCTGATGGATCTAGGTAGGTGATCTTGGTAGCCGGAAGCTCGTCTGTGTTAGCTGGTTCTGGACTGTCCCGGTCGTCTACTACGGCGCAATCCGAGTCGGGCTCGTCTTCGGCCTCTCGTGAGCGCTTCATCCTCAAGTGGTTGTGGTGGGGTGGATTACCCTGCAAGCCCTTGTTCCAGCAACTGCGTCGCGATGGTGGGGTGTGGGAGGGAAGGTAGGTGATTGTGTATCGTCAGGTGCAAGCAGAAAAATAGTAAATGAACAACGATGGCTGTTGCAAGCAGTCAATCCTACTCTTCTCTCCATAAAACCTGGTTGTTGTGTAGATGAGACAGCGAAGTTCAAGGAAACACAGCAGCAGCGGTGTGCCCCTCGTTACTGGAGGTGCCCAACCTACCTGGCTGGCAGGCATGTAATGCAGGTCGGAAATGAACGAGCGTGGTGGGGTTGAAGGTGGTCGAAGTGCCTCTTGACGATCAGCATGGCCTAGCGCCTCTGCACGAGCCCCATGGCGAACTTTGCGTGCCTGAGGGGCAGAGCAATCCAACATCAGGGTCATAATGGAGATTTAGTCGAGCGTAGCTTTGTCTTTTGCCTCTTGAGTTTCCGCGACGCTGGGAAACACATCGCGAGCTGCTCCCACCGACCTCTCCCAGAGTCCTTGTCGCATCACCTGGCGCACGCGCATGCTCATCTCTTGTCAGAGTTTTTGTTCTTGAATGTCCGAACCTTGTGCCTCTGGGCGCTGTTTTGCCGCATATTCCTTTATCTGCCATTGCCCAATGTTTTCTCCTCTAGCCGTCGCATCCTCATCACCTGCTGTTGCCTCGGACCACTCTCTTCCCGACCGCCCTCCTCCCAAGACCAACGAACGAGGTTATGGAACTCTCGAGACTACGAAGTCAGCTTTTCGTAGAGTGAGGGCGTAGCACACGACCTGCTGCGATCACACTTGATCCACCCCCCTACACGGCAATCGCATCAAACACTGCTTTCGATCTGGAAGCTACGGGATCTCGATACAGAAAGACAACAAAGACCAGACACTCCGCTGTCTTGTCTCGACACATCGCACAAGCAGAGTCTGCTCATCGCGAAACGCCCGCGTTCTCCTCGCATGGCCACTACTTCGCAAGTTTGTGAAGTAGCACGCGACAAATCTGCCACCATGTCTGATCGACCCAAGACCTCGAGGCACTCACGCCAGGCAAAGCAACCGAAAAATGCGAAGCAGAATGAGCAGGCGCAGGCAACCCCTTCCAAGCCGTCCGAGACGCCGAAATTGGCGAAGAAGCCGGAACAGGTTGGAAAGGCGCAGCAATCCACAGAGGGAGAGCAACAACAGCCGCAGATGCCCAATGTCGAGGATGTTTGGACGTAAGGCCACCAAAGCGTTGCCTGGCTTGCAAATTCGTATTAGAGAGGAGGATCCAGGCTAACATCTAAACTACAGTGAAGCTCAGAAGATCCGCAAACTCCTGAGCTCGCAGGTTTCGAAGCTCCGACGTGAGGGGGATGTGAGCAAACATTCCACGTTACGAGAAGTGGGCCGAGATCCTTGCTCGGTAAGTTTCCTTTTGTCCCTCCCTCCACAGCGACTGCCTTGAGAGACAACTTTTTAACAGTTTCAAGTTTGCGCCTGCTCTGCGTGCAGGACCCTCTTCATGGACTACATCTATGCCGCCAAAGAAAATGTCGAGGAGACTCTTTGGCAGGCGCACGTTTTGGTCAACAGTGAGTATCGCAATTCACTCAACCGAGTCCGAACAGCCCAGCTCGCAGTGCTTAAGAGCAAGCTCGAGACGCCCTACGTCCGGTTCCTCAAGCTTTCCCAGCGCTTCTACGAGGAATACATCCGGCGCCTTGCCAATCGGTACGGCATTCCTGAGTTGCAGGTGGCTGCTAAACGCATTTTGTCCGAACAAAAGGATGCCGAAGACTCAAACAGCGGTAATGGCGGGAAGGACTGCACCAATGATGTCCCGTCATCGATCCGTCTCATGGCCCTCCATTCTTGCTACATGACTCTCATCCGCCTAGGCGATTTGGTTCGGTACCGACTCCAGGTCCGCCATAACAAGAAGCCCAGTAACTATCTGGCTTTGACTTATTACGAACTTGCTCACGATCTTAAGCCGACCGTGGGCCACGCTCACCACCAGATGGCCATCATATACCTGGATGAGAAGCGTGACTTTGACATTGTCTACCACTTTTTCCGGTCTCTCGCTATCGAAGAACCCCATCCACGCGCTACCAACAACCTCGAGCTCCAGTTTAAGGCAACCCTCAGCTCTGTCAAGTCTGGCATGCCCAAACAATCCGGCCCTTACGATCCTCTCATGATGTGGTTCCTCAGGCTTCATGCCTATTGTTACCGTGGAGAGCCTTTCCCCCAGCAGCGTGAGCTGGAGGCTGAGGTCATCCATCGCCTCGATGCCGCGATTAGAGATCCTGACGCAAGCGCGATGCTTCTGAAGATGGTACTTATCAATATGGCCGCCTACTATGTGGCTACACAGTCGGTCAAGGGTAGGTTGAAAGATCCAGTGACACTTGCGAGTGTGAATGCTTACACGAGCCTAGAAAACGAGGCCTCACTCTACCCGAAGACTATCTTGCGCCTCAACTTCCTCTTCTTTGGCACTGTTTTGAACATCTTCAAGACAGAGCTGGAGACCTTGAAGGTTGAGCGCATGGACTGGGAGGACACACATGCCGGTAAGGATTCGTCGGACAACAACAGCACGCGGCCCCAGTCGACTCCCACAGAGCTTGTGATCCTGCCGCTCGTGCGCCTATACACATCTTGGCTCGTTGCCTGTCGTGCCGAAGTTGGCATAGCCTCACCGAATGTGCCCGTTGAGCAAGTCGGGAAGCTGCTGGCTGAATGCCTTAGCCTCATCGCTGAGCTGCACGGCGGCGACGGCTTGAGCCTTGCACCCCACATGCTTCCGGAAGACCACATGGCCATTGGCCTTCTCCCCCTCAACGATCCGACACTTGAACCGAGATGCCGTTTATCATTCAACCAAGAGCTCAACGTGGTGAAGCCCTTGTGTGACTACTACGATGGCAAACTTTTGGAAGGCTGGGAGGCTGGCCTTGCCCGTATGCTGGATATCCTTCTCTGTGGCTATGCCTTGACCGAGGATCCAGCCCTTCCGTTCGCTTTCCATGAGGATCGACTTGTCTTCACCTACGGTGGAGACGTTTCGACCACGCAGAAGCCTCAAGCCTCTCCTCAGCAGTACGGCGTCCAAGAGCCCTCTCAGTCAGCTGAATACGTCAAGAATCCCGAGAGCGTAAGACAGCCTGCAGCTGGTGACGGCCAACCTTCGCTTGAGGTGGCCCCGAATGACGCCAGCAGCAATCCAGTCAAGGGTTCAAATATAGCGCACGAGAGTGGCCGCAACGGGCACGTCAGTGCCAATCGCTACGGCCCAGATACAACGCACATTCAGCCAAAGAACGCAGCCACGAACACAACTGAATATGACTTCAGCGAGAACAGCGAGGTCATGAATATGGTAAACGATTTTATGCAACCTCCGGATGCTCACTCAGCCATGGACAACTTCCCTGCGTCTGCTCAACAGGAATACGATGATTCTTCCTATGGAATGCACTCTGCCACTGCTAACGAAGTCTTTGGCGGGGTGCGCCCCAGAGACCCGTCCGCTTTCGGCGCTGCAAGTGCCAGCGCCTTTCCTGCTCTGCCCTGGAGCATGGTCTATCAGCCTACCCC